AGAGTGGCTCTGATCAACTACGGAAAGGAGTACGGGAAGCTCGTGGTGATCGTCGATGTGGTCGATCAGAACAGAGTAAGCTGCTATTATCTTCTTGTGATTATCCTGAGTGTTTGGCTTGCGCTCCCGTCGGGTTGCTGAGAAAACCTAGGATAGGATTTGAGATTGATGTGAATGGGAGTGTAGACGGAGAGGGCACGAGAGCGTTTCAGTTGCGAGTGATTGTAGCATTCCAATAGTATACTATTGTAACTACATTGAAATGAAACTTTAAGGTACATTACGAAATGCATGGCTTGAGACATTTGGAAATGCATAACCTGAAACGAATTTGTGGATATAGACTTGAAATATGGTTGGGAATACAAGCTGTGTCAATGGGTACCAGCCTGAAGTCTCAGTTTGTTTGATTCTTGTTTGTCTGCTAACTGATTATTGGGTTCTGCTAGTAGAAAAAGAGCTTACCTTTTGCCTTTGGTTACTTAGTATTTGCTTTAGAAAGCGCATCAAATTTTCTTGATGCCATGACTTGTGATAATGGATTTTCAGTCTGATTCTAATCCGTATATTTTTAGGAAAAACCACCAGTGTGCTTCCTAATGCAGTTCCTTAGTTTTTCACTGGTCTTGTTATGTTCCTTATGTTGTTCGTGTCTCGATTTACTGTTTTTTTTTTGTAGGCTCTTGTTGATGCTCCTGATATGGTGAGGACCCAAATGAACCTGAAGAGGCTCTCATTGACCGATATCAAAATAGACATAAACCGTGTCCCGAGGAAGAAGTCGCTCATTGAAGCCATGGAGAAGGCTGGTGAGAAATCATGTCTCTTGACTTACAAACAGCCAACAGCAGGCATTCTTTTATCGACAGCGACTTGTCTGACTACATCCTTACGATGACAGATGTGAAGAACAAGTGGGAGAACAGCTCATGGGGCAGGAAGCTGGTCGTCCAGAAGAGAAGAGCCTCACTTAACGATTTTGACAGGTTCAAGGTTATGTTGGCCAAGATCAAGGTACTGTACAATCTCCCGGTCTTGTCCAGTGTAGTGTTTCGTCCAATTACGAACACTATGTATTATTATGTGTATGTGTGAATGCAGAGAGCTGGATTGGTGAGGCAAGAGCTTGCGAAGCTGAAGAAGGAAAGCTCATCATAGACGTGCATGAGAGTCTAAGTACTTGTTTTGGTTTGACCAGCGTTGTAAGAATTTCCGTCTCTTGTTTTCTGGATTTCGTTGTGCTAAAAATTAAGAATCTGTTACATCTATGCCGACATTGTTCTTTGGTTTACATCCCAAAAGGGTTTTTTTTTTCTGGGACTTTTTTTTATTTTATTTTTATGAATGCTCATTATTCGGTTGTTAGAAATACGAAACTAGTAAATCAATGTTCATCCCAAAGCCAGCAAATCTGTAACCGAAAATTGTCTGAATTTTTATCTTTATTTTCGTAACCAAATGAAGACAGATATCGTCTGTAATTGCATGCATTGTCGAAGTCGCAATACATCAGGCCATCTGAATGTCGGTTCAGTTTCGCTTTATTGGAGCTCGTACGTCCATAGTTTATTTTTCCATTTTTTTAATTCTACTAGTAACAGATATAATTTCAAGGATTAACAATTATTCATCAATAATGCAATGATATGGTAGACAATAACACTTTAGAACCATATATATTCAACAAAGATCTTCGACCAAAACCACGTTCATATTTCGATACGAGCACTATTTATTTACCCAGATAAAGGGTTAAATCCATATAATGTCTTTCGACATGGAAATATAGCCGCGGGTTATAGCTGGTCGAAAATCTCAGTCACTTCCTCTTGCCGTTGCCGATGGTGAGGAGTTCAAGGCTCTGGAGCGTGATATCACGCGCTGTCCTGGCCGGAGCTGCTGCCCTGGTGAAGGACGACGAAGAGGGCTTGGCTGAGTCAGGACCGAGCTGGGCTCTCTGGCTCGTGGGCAAGTGGCCATTGCTAAGGACGATCCGGCTCGACCGGTTGCTCTTGGTGAAGTCAGCTGAGGAGTTGGCTCTGGTACTTGAGGCAATAGCTTTTCTCGATGAACTCGCGTTCCTTGCCGTGGACGACGAGATGGGTCTCTCGTGGTTTTGCTGATGCGAAAAGGGTGAAAAACCAAAATTACAAAATCTTGCTCGGGATCCTAGCGGTTGGAACATGGAAATCAAGAACGAAAACAACTAAAAAAGGTTGCATCTTTCTAGGGTTTTGATGACTAACCATGTCTTTGGATGATGATAGTATGTTCTCCGAGGTTCTCGGTCTGGAACGATGATCAAATTGAACGCCACTTCCCGAGCCATTTCTTCTAGCAGCATATGCCTCTAGAGCATCTGGCAATCTCTCTAGGTTGCCCTGCCCAACTAAATAAATTCCCCGGAAAATTTTTGTCAGATTCTAAGAGAATCAACAGTTTCTTCAAGTATAGTCAACTGGATTTCAGCCATGTAACTTGAACAAGACCGAACTTGGATCATGAGTTGAATATGATAATATATCTTATTATCTTAACTCGAAAGAAATCTGACAGAAGTGGGCTTAATTTGGTTTTGGAGAAGCATTTCTTACTCAAACAGGCTAACTGTGTTGAACTGACATTTGCAAATCGAGTGATTGGAGAACGACAAAGAAGAAATTTTCCGACAAATACCAAGGAAAAATACAAAATTTGGACAAAAAATTCGGTTTATTTGTAAAGTTTTAGGACATGAAAGTTACAGGATTCAATGTTTACCGGAAGGCTTATCTGTTCTGCCTGCAGATGGCATGGGAGGGTTGTTCGAAGCTGGTCTCAGGCTAGACTGTTGGAACAAAGACAAAAGAGTCAGAAGGATAAAAGCTCAAACTTAAAAAAGGAAGTTCAAATAAAGTTTCTCCGAATATAGATAAAAAAGTGTGGGACCGACCCTTGGTTTAGAACTGGAGTTGAGCTGAGGATACTTCAAGATTGTCCAATCGAATACATAGTCAAACTGATGGCCTGTAATGATTAAAATCAAACCAACTCTTTTTGAGATTTTGGAGAAATATTTAGAAACAACAGATGAGCAAATCGACAAATTTTTCACCTTCTCGGATGAACAAATCCCTGAAAAGCCTCTTAAGGTATGGATAATCAGGCTTGTCTTCAAACCGCAATGACCGAATATAGAGGAAATATGATGTGAACTCAGCGGGATATGATTTACAAAGGACCTGCAAATGGAAATTCAATTAAATGTTGTATCCATAAATTCACACACCGACAAAACGCTTCAACAAAGGTCAGCAGAAAACTCCGTCAAGCTAAGGAAAAAACCAGATTTTGATAAGTAAATGATTCTTTTGCCTGTTAAAAAGATAATGGCAACGCCCTATAACAAAGAAATTTCTCAGTAGCTTGTATTGGAGAGTGAAAAAATTACCTCAATGGGTGTAAGCCTTTTCTTCTCACTAATCTTGTCATATTTCTGCTTTTTGGTACCGGCACGAAGGCCTTGCCATGGAAGGCTGACACAGAAACGAGAGAAGAATAACAATCACGAAAATTGAGGTTAGAAAAAAATACTGAAGATGTACAGAACAAAGGTTATATATCTCTACCTTCCTCTCAGAAAATACATAAGCACATAGCCAAGGGATTCCAGATCATCCCTCCTACTTTGTTCTGCCAAGTGTTTTTTCATATCAGCATATCACTAGAAATTCCATAATGTCTAATCGAATAGGAAAAGGAATGTCTCTTGAAATTATAAGAGGCACGGATCACACTCACCAATTCCGAGATGAGTATTAACACTTGCATATCGAGCTGTTCCTGTAAGATTCTTGTTTTCCCTAAGAAATGAGGGTCACGATTAGCAAAGACAAAAGTCTTTTAAGATTATAAACGAAGTGCAGCTAAAACTTTTTCTACATTATGAGAGAAGAAACAGTCTAATAAAAATATTAAAAGGTACCTGTATGGGATATGCTTGTGAGTTTGAAGATCCCTATACTTTTTTGCCAGTCCATAGTCAATGACGTAAACCTGCCACATATATCCTTTCGATGAGATTTTTCTTAGCCCTTAAAGATTAGTAGCAAAATCAAAATCGCTCCCTAAGAAAGTTCTACAACCAAATAAATCCTATCTTTAGACAAAAGAGTTGGCATGATTACCTGGTTTGCTTTGCGTCCAAGACCCATTAGAAAGTTGTCAGGCTTAATATCACGGTGAAGAAAGCCTCGTGAGTGCATATACTCAACCCTGTTTATCTAGAGAAAAGAAAATGGAAGATTCGATTATGAGGAAATACGGGTATGCAATAAAACAGAAAAAAAAATATAAGCCAGAAGTAAAGGAATATTTACCATCTGATCTGCGAGCATTAGAACTGTCTTTAGAGAGAACTTTCGATTGCAGTAGTTGAATAAATCCTCCAAACTCGGACCAAGAAGATCAATGACCATGCAGTTGTAATCACCCTCAACCCCAAACCACTTAATGTGAGGAACACCGGCTTCAAGAAAACAAAAGGGCATAAACAATCAGTAAAAGAAAATCATTGGTTCGTAATTGTCCACAAAATGAAATCCGGGATAGAACTTACTTCCTCCTTGGAGAAGCATGTAGAGCTTTGACTCATAGTGAAGTTGAGGATGCCTAGCCCTTACGGGTTCCTGTATGAAGAGGCAAAATTTTATCATAACAGTATATGTAAGCCATGCAGGAAAGAAAGAACAACGATTTTGAGTCACTACATTCCACTAGCATAAGAAATCTAAATATAAATGTCACCAAAACGATTTTGAGATGTATATATATCTCTATCACGGGAATATGATTTTGAGACTGAGTTCGATGGGAAACAGATTCAGCACTGCAGCTTACCATCTTAACAGCCACTTCTTCTCCAGTTTGCACATTCGCTCCTGAACCAAAAACAATGACAACAGTTAGATAATGCACCTTAACTCCAAAAGGTAAACACAAAAAGGACATAACATCAAATTCAGTAAGGAAACCCAAAAGAGAATTCTATATACCGAGAAAAAGTTCACCAAATGATCCGCTGCCGAGCTTTCGCCCCAGTTTGTACTTGCCACCAACCACACGATCCATTTTTCGATCCTTAATGGAAGATTCAGAAACACTTCAGATCCAAATTACCTGACTTTCTTTTGTGTACTTCGAACCGAATTGACCTCAACGTTTTCACTCAATCTTATCTGGTCAATACTTCAACCTAACTGATTTCCTCAAGGAAACTTTGCAACACTGAGATACAAATGTCACAAAGTCAACCCAGAAAGCTCCTAGCAACTCTATCCTTTGATCACAGAAATTACAAAACCCAGATCCCAATCGTGTCCCTGGGTTCGTGAAATGCAGATCGAATGGAAATATCCAGACCTATTTCAGAAAAACCGCACACACAAAGCCTCACCAGATTCACATCGAGGCAAGAGTACGTGAAAATCTACTAAGAATCCCAAATCGAAGAGCCGCAATACCGAATCCGCAAAATCGCAACTTCGATCTTCTCCAATCGCTAAATCGATCAAAGTGTTTGACCCAAATCGATTTGCAAAATAACCCCAATTAGTCTAGATTGACGCGGCTAAAGAACCCAAAGATCAAATCTCGAATTAAGCGCTTAGTTTCTGATACACTGAAGCTAAAATTACCCATTGACCACCACCACCACCATCGTCATCATCATCCAACTCTGACTATTTTCTACAAAGATTCGGATCAGATGACAAAAAAAAGGGTCTGCAGGAAAAAAAAAACAGCAGAAACCACAAAGAGACAAAAAAAACGCGGAAATAAGCAGAGAGCGACGGTATCAGCGGAGGGAAAGTGGGGAAAGGGGCTAGGGCTCGATTCTACCGTCTGATCTTGGACTGCTGGGTACAGAGTTTGATTCAGTATTTCCCAGGAAAATCTTTGGACATTTTCTAGGGGTAGAAAACAAAACGGAAGGAAATCTGACGGCCTTCTCAAGTGTTTTCCTATTGCTTTGATTAACAGTATACTTATTGTTTATTTCCCATATGTATATATAGGTGTATATATATTAAGGTAAGGTGCCCCATGAATGTACCAATTTTAATTTATTTTTGTCGTTTCTAAAATATTATTACCATCACTGTCATATTAGAAAAACAATAATGTAATTTATTACTACTGCTGTATTATTATTATTATTATTATTATTATTATTATCAAATCTGGCAAAATTATCGTATGATATATAAAATTATATTTCCCTTGACTCTGGCCGGCAGTATTATTTATTTTCCATTTGCAAGGAAAAATGATATTTTTATTTATAATTAAAGTTTAGAGAAATATTACTTTCGCAAATTATAGTATCGGACAAAAGACATATCAAGATATATTAATTAATTATTTATTTATTTTCCACTCCAAATTCAGACAAAAAGGGCTGATTCTTGAATTGACTTGTAATTAATTAACCGGTTTAAGCATCAATGTTGTGGTTCAGGTATAAACTAATTTTACAATTAGCAATCCAAAAGCCAGGCTGGTCCTTTTAATCCACTTTGTGCTGTAGACAACGTAATGATTAGATATGATCTATGCCTATGCCACTCACATTTTGATTAATTATTTCTATATTCATTTTTTATTATTAAGAAACATATATTAAGCTTTAAAATTTTTAGATCGACTTTTTGGATTGGATTCGAAAAAGAATTTTTTTTTCAGATCTTGGGTTATTTTTCCAATTTGATCCATTTCAATTAATTTCTTTTTAGAAAGGCCCTAACATTTTTAAGATTGAATTCAGTTTAAAAAATTAGATACGATTATTAATTATACGTTTTAGTTTGCATATCGGTACCGAAATTTATACACATATAATAGCTTAATTGAAAATTGTTTTTTTGGCATATCAATTCAAATTACACCGGTTAACCGGTTCTAACCGCAAAATAAATTGAAATGAACCGGACTATAGGCTTTTATCTTTGATTGAGAAAACTCATCATTTGGTGATATATGAATTAAACTTTTTTTGGCAAGATATCATTTGTCAATACATATGCCATTGCTACGCATTTTCTACCAAAAAAAAAAGACAATATCTTTGTTCTAAAATATTCAGACGAAACTCATGTGGTCGAGTGATACCTGGACTGGAAGTGAGGGTGTTTCTCCTCCAGATCAGAGTTCGAATCCAGACATGTAGGGAGGGAGAGACATAGTCAAAGACTGTGTTCAAAGGTGGTTCCCGTACCCAGGTGAATTTCCTGGTTTGACAAAAAAATATTTTCAGACGAAAAGCTAAACCTGACAAGGTAAAGATAAGAAAAAAAAAACAAAAGAAAAATCTAACAAAAAGCAAAGATGATGAATTTGTGTATACATGATGATTAGGGTTCATAATTAAACACTATAAATCCCTAAAAATAAATAAATAATATCTATCACCATCTTCTTCTTCTGATTCCTCGCGGCCATGGATGGATATGTATCGTTTCAACGTTCAGTCTTATATCTCTTGATGACGTCATCCAGTTTCGGGGAAGCTTCCATTGAAGATCCACATTTTCTTCTGGACGACGAAGACGGCGTTGTCTCCGTCTTGGCCGGGATTCGAACTCGCCACGACGTCCCATCGTAACGCCGTCAGGTAATTTTTGACGGAATCTACGATACGTTGTTCATCGCGGAAGATGACGAAGCCATTCGGTCGGAGAATACGATCCATCTCCAGCATCAGATCAATGGGGCCGCAACCTTTCTTCCTCTCCGTGTCGGAAAGCACAGTCCATGCATGCAGAAGATCGTACGTTATTGGATAAGTGGAAAACGCTTCACACCTCCATGGACGCCAAAAGAAAACAGTCAAAAACTCGGATGATTTCGTGAAAGAGAGGATTTTGGTTCATTACCAGTTGTGGGCTGTGCCGATCAAGCCACGGTCATAGATCAGCTTCAGGGTTTGAGGTCCGTCCTCAGGGACAACGTTCATGACCCAAACATCCTTGTCTTTCAGAGCAGCAGCAAAAGAACCTATGTCTGCTTTCATGTCCATTATGTTCCTCAAGGTGTCTGATTCGATTCTTGGTGACAGCATATTCCAGTAATCATCCACCCTTTTCCGCCATAGTTCCTGCAACAACAAATTACAGAAATGGCGGAAGGAAGAAACCAGGAAATATCCAAAATCGATGTCTCTCTGCAGTCTGGTTTTGTACCGTATCCTTCTTAAACATGTGAGCTGAATATCCGAAATGTGCAAGTCGGGGAGGAGGAGAAGTCAGTCTTTCCGGCCATGGAGCTAATCCACTTCCCTTGTTCATATGGTCATCTGAAAAACCCATCAAGTTTGAAGAAACTTACATCGATTATGCCACTCTTGACAGGCACAACAATCATCAAGCCAGAGTTATACCGTCGGAGTTTAATGTGATGCAAGCTCCCATGGGCACACCCCAGACTGCATCAGGATCATTGTCTGGACGACAGAACGGAGGCTGTGTCTCGGGTTTTCTCTTCAGGTAACATTCATTGGTCAGTGGTTTCTGCCAAATGACTGTCTGGTTCCTTTTCTCAGCTATTCTCCAACACATGCGTTCAGCAAGAGAGCTCATCTCTCTCCATATCCTCAGATCTTCCTCGTCTTGAGCATAAGCTTCGGGAGATGAATACGCAAAATAGCCTCCGGGTCTGAGCAAACGATCGAGCTCGAGAAGTAGGATGCCGTCTCTTTGAAGCCAATCGATCCTGCACCGAGAACAATGAGCGAGTTCGAATGATCTGCTCGGGTATGGGAGCCTCTTCGTCCCTAAAACACCGAGATAGGCAGGGATTCCTCTCTCCAGAGCAAACTGGATTTGGTTCTGGTGAACATCGTTAGGTGCCAAGGACATTGTGATTATATCGGATGAGAGAAGGTAAGCTCCAAAACTTGCAACTCTACAGCCGACATCGAGAACCGTCCTTACTCTCCCTTCACCGTTCAGATTATCGCCCGAAAAGTTAAGCATCTGAAAGTTCCAGTTAACGAGAAAAGCTAGATTTGACATTACGATAAAGAGATGAAAACCACGAGAAGAAATCGGATATTAAGCGTCAGAGCTTTACGTGTCCAATGGAAGCAATGTATTTGTCGGCGCCATAGTGAAAATGAGTGCCTCCGCCAGGGAAATGAATCCTTTTGCCTTCCACAACCATCCAGTTCTGATCAGACTTCTCATTTGCAAGGTGGGTATGAGGAATGTTTGCTTTCAACACTTCGTCTCGGCTCTTAGGCCACTTGATAGGAATCTATCTCTTCAAAATCAAGATCAAAAGATAGCGACAACACAGTCGGAGATTGTAATCAGATCAAAAGCAACAAAAAGATTTCGACTTTCGAGACTACATATATATACACCTTGTATCCAGATGGAGGAGGAATCAAACAGTTAAACCGTCTTTCGGGAGGCGGGCAGTGACGCTCGTAGTGCTCCATTACAGACAAATCCAGCTTCAATCTCGTCTGATAGATGAAGTTCCTGTCTAAGCAGGGTATAATTTCCGAGTACTGTTCATCACAGACCTTTCAACAAGAGAAAAGAAACACAGATATAGGGAACTTACACAAGACATTTGATCTGCCATTGGAACTTTCTACTTTCAGATTTGGAGTTTAAAGAACTTACAGGGAAAGTTTTAGGCGCAGCTTCACTGTCTCCATCTTCTTGCCTGACGACAGACTCATCCTGCTTGCTATCATCATCACCATCATCATCATCTCCAACCAAATAAGATGATCCGAGTTTCCTCAATGATCTTCCATTTTCCAAAGCGGATGTTGCTCCATGGTTTGAGGAACCATAGTTCATACAGATGAAACAAACGAGCAATACTGCCGCACAAACCAAAGCAATCAGCCCCTTCTTCTTCTGGCCTCCTCCCTCAGATCTTGCTCTCATCGATTATTACACTATCAAAATGTCTTCAAACACTGGATTTTTCTCGTACAGACCATCCAACACAACAGCATCAAACAGCATTAGATTTCAAGGGCGAAGTAAAAGAGATCTCCTTTATGTGTACATGACAACAGTTTGAATGGTTTCTGCACCAGACAAAAGACAGAACCAGCCATAAGAGACAAGACTAAGACGATCCAAGTCTAAAGTGTCTATGAGACATATAGTATCAGCATCTTGATTGATAATCGATTACAAGCAACGATAAACTTCATTGGCAAGCAAGTGGAAAAGATTGACTATTTCCGTAATCTTTCAAGGGAAATGATCTGGAAATGAGATGAGGAGTTTGGATGCAGTGATTGGGAACTGTTCGCAGGAGATATCGGATCCGAAACTTGATTATAATGCATTTGCAGCTAAAAGGGGGTTTACTATTTGGATTTCGATTCCCCATGGACCAACTAGAACTAGTAAATCTGGGTCTAGAGCTTCCATTTTCTCGGGAAAATTAAAAAATCTCCATTTTCCCGGGAAAAAAACACAGATTGAGCCCAAAATGACAAATTCAAACACCACACTGAACGAAGAAAATGACCCATCGAAGGGCGAATGAAGAAAATGAATCAGAATCCACGCAATCGAACGCTTCCCCAAAAATTACGTCAGGAAATTTACCTCCTCGTGTTTCTGCTAACGTCGCTCGTATTTTGTGGGGGAGAAGGGAGGAAGGAGAGAGAGTGCGAATGACGACGTAAAAGGTCTCTCTCACTTCTCTTACTGCAAAATGAAACGAAATACATAATTTGTTTGGACCGCTTTCCTTATTTCCTTATTACTAATACTGAATGCAGATAGGGGCAAGAAGACACTCTGTAACAGGTAAGTCCACGTGACAAATTGAACATAGTAATAAGGAAATGATACAAACTGAAATGAAATCTGAATCTTCTCAACTCCCCAATGGCTTCTTCATCTTGCAGTTCTTGTCATGTCGTGACAGCTCCAACACGAATATTCTTCATGTTCCTTGGATTTTTTTTTTTAAAGTTCAAATTACATGGCCTCTGTTCATGAGAACTTGGAATCGACCTGCAAATTCGAAGGGGAGAAAACATTCACATGCCTGATGAAATATAGATATGTACGGTGTCAGATCATTTCAATTGTGTGCTTTCAGTTCATAGACATGACTCGTTCGGCCCAGTCTGAGTTGGGTATCGAAATTTCGAATATTTGTCCATCAGCGAGACATTTACGATCGACAACTTGAGAATCCAATCTTGGCATTCAAGTTTGGATTTCGGTCGGAAATTATCCTCTTGTCGGTATCCGAACAAAAGAGGAGAGGAAGAGATGGGCGAGGCTGCGAGGACGAGCGCGGGGGGCAGAGACCGAGATTAGAGTTAGCAATTGGCGATCGAGATTAGGATTTTGTCGCATCTCCTTACTTAGAATCGCCTCACCTGAATCGTCACTCGTCCTCGTTCCTCGAATACGTCTCCCGTTCATCCACCTCTCTTTACCCCCTCGCAATTGGGGGCATTATCAAAAATACCCTTAAAATGCTATTTCTACTTCAAGACCTACCCTGGTCACATGTGACCAATGTGACCGAAATATAGTATGGTCACATTTTGATTTTTATCGATTATAACGTTAAATTTATGGTGATCACACTAATTCATTATGTTTATACCTTGTATATCTTACTAATCATTTGATTAAAACATCATAAATTTAACGTTATGAACAATGAGATCAATATGTGACCACACTCTTCAAGACTCACATTGGTCACATGGTCACAAGGGTAGGTGTTGAAGTAGAAGTAGCATTTTAAGGGTATTTTTGATATAATGCCTCGCAACAATTGCCTTCGTCGGTCAGATACATAGCAGGTACCCGAAACGGGTTTCTTACTCACGCAAGACTGAAATCAGGTCATTCGACCGAAAAAAACCTGATGAGAAAATATCAAAATCGAATACAACAAAACAACTCAGGTATCCGACAGTGTCCATCCCTACTGAATTCATCCAAGACCAAGGGAATTTCAAGAACGTTACCTTCAGTCCTTCACTGTGGGGTTAGGAAAGCTGGTTTTTGCAGAACTTCTGCTTCCGAAACTAAATATGGATTTCTTTTCGGTAGGTCTCAGAATCTGGAAAGAGCACGTGAGGTCTTCATCCACGTTCATCATGGCCCCTGCATTGTTGAATTCCCCGCAGTAGTTCGGTGCCGAGAATATCGTCACCAGTTGCTTTTCGGCAAAGAACTCGAACCCGTCTTCCACTACCTGCAAGTTCAAGCTCTGTAAGCAAACATGGAAAAAAAAAAAGCTGATTCTTTCGGGGTGAAAGGAACATCACGAACCTGGTGAGCCCGGCAAATGAGATCAAGCTCGAGCCTTTTCAGAAACCCGGAAACGATATCGGCGCCAAAAGTGTACGAAACTCCGCGATCATTGGCTCCCCAACTCTTGATCTCCTTGTCAGGATCGGACCACAAAAGATCACAGAGCAAACCTTGGTCCGGAACATCAGTAGGTCGTCTGATGTCCCTTATCTGTCTCAAGCTACAGAGATCGGGAGAAAGCCCTCCATGCATACAGAGAATTCGATTGTCTATGAGAGCCGCCACGGGGAAACAGTTGAAGCAATCGGCGAAAATTCTCCAGATTTTGACGCTGAGACGTCGTTTGCACTCGTCATAGAAGCCATAGATGCGGTTAATGGAAGCACATTCATGGTTTCCTCTGAGAAGGAAGAAGTTTTCTGGGTATTTGATCTTATACGCGAGAAGAAGACAGATAGTTTCGATGCTCTGTTTGCCACGATCGACGTAATCTCCGAGGAACAGATAGTTCGAGCGAGGAGGGTATCCTCCATATTCAAAGAGCCTTAGAAGATCTGAATACTGACCATGAATATCCCCTGCATCAAGATCAGTTCAAATGTTAAAAATGCATATACTGTTGGAAAGTTCACGATCAATTGATGAACATCCAAATCTCTAAATACAGATTCAGATAATCATCATCATATTAAGCTCAAGAATCACTTGAGAACACAGGATTTAGTTAATGGAAACCCCCCATCTTTTTGGCTATTAGAACTCCAATCACATCAGAACCAGATATTTTCACAAGAATAGTGTCAAGTTGAGTTATGTTTTCATCAAACCTAGAAAACAAGAGAGAGAGGATCACCGCAGATTTTGACAGGAGCTTCAAGCTCCAAGAGATTTGGCTGTCTCAAGAAGATGTCCCTGGAGACAAAGCACAGCTGTCTGATTTCGATTTCAGACAGCTGAACAATCTTGCCTGGTTTCTCCCTCGCTGCAAGCAACCTGTTGATCACTGAATTCAAAACACCTGCATCCATCAATAAGCTTCTCTTTTCTGCTTCAGCAAGGAAACTAGCCCACCAGGAGGAAAAGATTTGATCGACTAACAAAAACGAAGAGAAACCCAGGAGATTATACACAGAAGAAAAAAGAACCCTTCAAACAAAGATAATGGAGATCAAGAACCCGACTTTGTATTCTTATATTCTTGTTCTTTCAGAAAAAGAACGGCGAGAATTGTATTTCAGACAACTTAAAGCCACTTTGAAGAATATATGCTCTATCTTTTCTCAAAACCAATGTTGTTGTTCAAGATTTCCTACCAAGATTCTGTTTTAGTTACCACTGCTCACGAAAATTCTCCAGTTTTCTCAAATAGTAAACATTTTTCAGAGTGTTGTACTCAATCCCGAACCCAAAGAGCTCGAATATCTCGAGCTGCATAACCAAACAGAATATTTTTGGCTGACATCTTAGTTCGTTTTCAGTATAAGCAAAGAAGAATCCCATACCAAACATTGCTTTGAGGTTAACGATCCAATAGGAGAGAGCTTTCGCATTGTAATAATATATGCTCGTTTCCCCCCAACATGGTTAAGGTTTTGGATTCAGAACTCGACATGACTATTAAGAACATATTCATTTCTGCAGTCACCGGATGGGAGAGGACACGAGAGGAATCGATGGGAAGATTAGAGGTTTTTGTTTTTGGAGAATATTTTTGCTTTTCTAGCCCACTTTTTCTCCAATAAAGACAGATGACCTTTCATGGCTTCTAGAGCATATCATTGCTTACAAGGTTTTAGGGTTAGAGGATGAGCGATTCTCAAGAATCACTGAAACTCTGAAACTGTGCAAAGAATTAACCATTCCTGAATATACAGAGATTGACAGAAATAGAAATAGATATAATGATTTAGATTTCTAGGTACCTTCGATAAGATGGAGCTCCATATCCTAGCTGAAGGTAATGACGTTCCCTTTCCACGGATCTTCGCACTGACAGCAACATAAACCTCCATTGGTGTCCCAGACATGATTCCTGTCCCTGAGGCATCACAAACGTCCGTACAGTTCCTCAGCTTCCCCTTCTTCGAGAGATCATCCACCATTGTTGCTCACTGAAGCTCTGCATCCTCCGAGTAGCCTCACATGTCAAAGTAGACTTATCGTACGAGGAGAGGAACCCATCAGGATACAAACATCTCCATACGAGCAATAGCAATAGAGATCCGATACAAAATCTAGGGAAAATCCTTGATATACCCAAAATTGACGAGCTCCCGTAGATTCAAAACCCCGCCGTGTAGAACCTTCACCTTGCCGATGATCCCCCGAACTCCCCGGAGGTTGAAGACGAGCTTCCTCCTGGTCAACGGGCCGTAGGAAAACGAAAGCCATTGGAGAGCGCATCGGGAAGAAGAAACCCGGGAAAGGGTTGCCGGAGGAGAGAAACGCCGGCGAGAAGTTTTCCGTCGCGGACGCGTCAAGGATTTACTTAAGTACTTATGTGCTATTTATACTTAAAATTCAATGGTTTTTTACTATAGTGAGCTAAAATACTAACGAACATTAGGAAACTGTATAGTAATTATATTGAGTTATATGAGATGTGTTCTTCAGAGTTTTCCCCTAGGTAATAAAAATACACAAATATAATATTTTTATAATTATTAATTTAACCCCGAATTTACTTAACAATATATTTTAGTAAAAAATTATTATACCCATTAAGTGCCAATCGGCTTATCATATCCGAATAGAATAATTTGATTAACTGTAATTTTACTCTGATATATTTTAAGTGCCATTCGGCTCATTATATATTCTCCATTAGTCAAAATTAATCTGTATAAAGAAAAGCTTAGATAAACCGTCCATTTTCACATAAATTATAAAAATTAAATATTGAATCTATATATACTCTACAATAAATACTTGGGTACATTACCGAGTTTCATGTCGTTTTAAAGGTTTACAAATACTCATAACCTAATTATTTTATCTTTTGAGAATTTGCCATCAAAACGACATGATAGGGTTATTATTCTAACATGTTATTTTTATTTTTGGTAAAAAAAAAATAACATGATATTAAGAGAGATGACGGTCGATGTCTATCATATGATTCAAAATCTCCATTTATTCGTTTGTACATCTCATGCATGCATATACATTTTTTGGATGCGCATTCAACTTTTGATAAGATGGTCCATTCCTCCCTTACTAAAAACATATCTGCATCTACCTTAACATCTCGACACGGATACACACAAACACGCGCATGTTTATATATATGTGCATGTAAACACTCTATATGCATAATCTGCTTCATATATACTTGTTATAAAGCTGGCTCAGGAGACCAACCAAGTGTGGCTCAGTGGTCAAACTCCTTGTGACAAAGTCACTTAGAGGAGGGCGAGTGTTCAATTCTGACCGGTGGGGAGGGAGGTAAATACGGCATATTTGATCGTATTTCACAAAGATTGCTATTGCAGATTTGAGTGGATGTAGTCGGACCAAAAACTCTGAGAACCATCTGGTTTACCAAAAAAAAATATTGGCCCAGGGATCCAAGATCATGCGTCAAATTGCTATTACTAATACAATCATAATGGATTATATGTATACCACAACTACACTTGTGTATGTACACATAAAGAAACCCAAATCAATGTCGACGTGATACATCGAAACGATATGGTCTCTACAAGGTCCGAAAGAAGAAAGACATATGATCAAAGATGGCCTCCCCTTCACATATATAATAAGATCAAGCATGAAACCAAAAACTGCAAAAATTTTATTCATTGTTTGCAAATTATTATAACAATCGAAACATATATACCTCTGATCATACATTTGCAAACACAAATTCTTATTGCCACCCCACCCCCATATATATATATATATATAGTTTAATCATCTGAATTCAGATAATACATATGCGCACTGTAGTATAGGTCCACAATCACTATCTATAATAAGCATTGTATAATGGATTCCCGTTGGAAAAATTGCTCGCCTTATTACAAAACTCGACCCGATCGATGATTTCTTTTTATGTTTCCGCGTCATTGCTTCCGACCCTTGCTGTTATTACTAGAGTTCTTGTCATAATTCTCTCCGTATTCAAGAAGTTGCTCCAAAACACTGTCATCCAAGTACTCGAACTCGAATACTTGCCTCGAGGAAGACGAAGAAGACGATGCTGCAGCCGATAAAG